ACCAAATAATTAGGTTCTTTGTTACCCCCGAAGTATGGCTGATTTATCCCCCGAGCGGTAATTACCCCCAGGTTTGGAACCCAGGCTATATACCTAGGGATATATTTATAAACCGTAACATAGTTATACGAAAGCGATTATTACTGTCTTACGTTCGCAATCTAGTTAAATGTTTAACTGAGTGAACTAATCTGGGTAAATAGTTATTAGTTACTATAGAATCAAATAAAACAATATTTTGGTTTTAATTTCTAATGAAAAATCTCCTGTTTGTAACCTGCAATAAGTAACGATATTTTTTAGCAATAAATACGTATCATAATGTTATTGCAATGATTATTATTAAAAATCTTGGTGTTTGCAAAATACTTAGAACTAAATCAACAGCTTTGAGAAATTTTACTATGACTATTTCACTAAACTGAAGCAAGTCATACTTTATAATTATATGTTATGGATATATTACGGATTTATCTATCTAACTGCGACATATATATGTCAATGGCAACCTTTATAATGCGGGTATTCTATACAATACCTAGACAATGTATAGAATGCCTGGGGCGTCATTTTTGATAACAAATGAAAAGCACAAATTACTGAATAATTACTAATTATATATAGTAAATTTCTCCTGAACACTCCTTCCTCCAACCTGAATACACAATTGACAACTGTAAAAAGTTATGTTTTAATTATAATTTTTATTTTTATTAAAGCATGTAACTGCTTGATGTTTAAATCTAAAGAAGATATAACTAGAAAAAAGCCGTGAAAAAGTCCGTGAGGGCCGCGGTAGCATAATTGGTCAGTGCATTCGCCCGGATTGCGAAGGGTGCGGGTTCGAGTCCCGTCTGCTGCCTGGTCCGCGTGGAAGTTTTTCTAGTTATATTTTCTTTATGTTTTAATTGTCTAAAGCTACTTGAATATTCTTGCTTTATGTTTCTTTCCTATAATGCTTTAATCGTGTTTCAATGATTTTTAGCCTATCCGCCTTCGAAGGCCAATTACAAAAAAATAGGCTTATTAAGTACTATTTTTTTTATGATTTTTGGTAGTTTAGAAGCATGCGGCGTTTTTAAACTTAACCAGAAGCTATGGAAACTCCTTTTTGTATTTTTGAAATGAAGTTAAATGTTTGAGAAAATCCTACTAAAACTAAAGTTCCAACTTTCAAGCCTTTTTTGAGTAACTTTATGTGATATCAGAGAGCTGAGTATTTTTTTTTATTAAAACAACATTCCAGACAATTATGTTACAAAAAAAAAGACTGCAAAATACCTACTACGACAAAAGATATGAATTTTTGAAACCTCCCTGGCAGAAATCATTAAAAATACAAAAATAATATTATAACTCGAATTAAAACACATACCACCACCACATATATCGGGTTTTTCCGGATACCCCCAGGTGCGAGGAATCTAAAAAAAAATTGTTGACGTCACTAATTGGACCACCCTGTATGTACATATACATATTTCATTTACTAGCTATTACAGAAAGAAAGAAAGAAAATGTGCGCGCACACTGCTTTCTCTTGCTTAAAACCCCCACTCAACTCCCATTCGCCTCTCCCGAACACGCTTTTCGTAACGCGTAACGCATTCGCCAGCTCAATCCCTTAGTCAAATGTGCGTAAAGAAGTTACACTTCCAAAATATTTATATATAGATTAAAACAAGTAAAAGTCGATCTTCTTTTACACACATTGTTGATTCTAGTTTCTGTAAAGTTACTCAAGTGACGTTTAAGCGATTTCGCTTTTCCACTGTTTTCCACTTTAATAATAGTAGAAAGAAAGTATGTAACAACAACTAAGTACAATTACTAAGTAAGCTCAATTTTATTTCAGAAGAACTAAAAATGTGAAAAGAAAAGGAAAACATCGGACAAAATAAAAGACGCCAAAATAAAAAATAAACTATACATAGAAGATTTAATTTTTATTTTTTAGGCATGTAACTGCTTGATTTTAAATCTAATGAAAATAAAACTACAAAAAAATCCACGCGGACCAAGCAGCAGAGACTGGGACTGGTCCGCGTGGATTTTTTTCTAGTCATATTTTCATATATTTTAAACAAGAGTTTATTGATTTTGGGTGGAGGATTTGATCTCTTAAAGTATTTTGATCTGTTTCGTTTGAAATCTTGTATAAATGAACTTAGTATAAAGAAAAAAAATTGTTAGTTTAAAAAACATATACATACTAGCTGACCCAGCGAACTTCGTACCGCCCTAAAAAAATAGGGTTTGTCCAGCGGACAAAATTGTGAATCTAAACCATTCTCAGATCCCCTTGAACACACACAAAAAATTTCATCAAAATCGGTCCAGTCGTTTAAGAGAAGTTCAGTGACATACACACTCACAGAAGAATTATATATATAAAGATGTATTTGTTAAGTACTTTTATTTATTTATTGCTGTTTATTGATCAATGGCGTTTTTGATAAATTATGGTAAATTATAAAAAAAATGCAAATTTGACAAAAGGAGGATTTGACGAATTCCCAGTTTGTCTTATTTCTAATTCGTTTATTTTATAACACGGCTCTGTTAACAAAATTTTAAATCACCAATTCACCCCCCAAAATTAACCCTCATATTCGAAATTTATATATATCCTTTATTCATCCGTGTTTGGATCAAAAGCATATGTATGTATCAAATTTCAACTTGATCGGTCCAGTAGATTTCGAGCAAATCGACTGTTACAGACAGACACACCGGGTGATCCTATGATGGTTCCGTTTTTGTCGATTGAGGTACGGAACCCTAACGAGCAAACCCGAGCTTGAATACTAAATTAGATAGTGTTTATCAAAATAAATAGATAACATTTCTTATAAAACAATCAATGCCACTAATTGGACAGTCAAACTAAGGTTTATCAAACAGTCAACATGTTGCGTGTGGTGGTTCTCCTGGCTGCGATCTTGACTGTGAGGGCACAGACGACTGCAGTTAACCGATGTAAGTATAATTTAAACACTTTTAATCTGTATGTCCGCTCAAAATGGAGCGCCCGCCTGAGGAAGCAACCTCCACCCAGTGTTTTCAGATCATAAGCAGCGATTTTCCGCTTTTTAGCGCCTATTGACCCGACTGCGCACGCGCAGTATACAGGGTTAATTTTAAAACACAAACAACTTTTTTTTCGCGATTTCAGCGTTGGTCTCATAATAAAAGTTGTACCTTTTGATGGGTAGAATCACCCCCTAAGAGGTTGTTGGTGTTTTAAAATTAACCCTGTATATACAGAGTGTCACAAAAATACAAATAAAGCTTGAAGGGCGTTGAACTACATCATATAAGGAGTCTTCTCTAATTTTCTTAAAATATTTGCATGGAGTTTTAACTTTTTATAAAAACAGGTATTTTTAATGATCCTCGAACTAGTAACGTGTCTTGAAATGATCGATATTTTTATTAACCATTAAAAATAACTGTTTTTATAAAAAGTTAAAACTTCATGCAAATATTTTAAGAAAATTAGAGAAGACTCCTTATATGATGTACTTCAACGCCCTTCAAGCTTTATTTGTATTTTTGTAACACTCTGTATAAGCTTATTCTGTGGCGCACGCAAGCAGCGTAAAGCGCGACGCGCAGACAGGGTATAGGGTGTTTAACAGTCTATAATAAATGTACGAGTATGTATGTTCCTTTGTGGCACACCAGAAACCCAACGCGTGGACCGATTTTGACGATAAATACGTCAATCGATATATCTTTATCATGGGAGTGCTACTAAAGAACAATGGATCCACGTTCGGCTTTATAACGGTGAGGTTGCGGTATCACTTTTTTCGAATCTACTATAACGACCTCTAATTACCGCGGTCTAGTACCCGTAGGACCCTCAAGAATCGACCCAAAAGCAAAAAGTGCCCATTGGACCTCTTTTTTAGTGTTCATTGGATCTTCTTAAAAAGTTTTATATTCAATGCGCCCATTGGACCTCTTTTACCGCACTCATGCATGGGTGCCATGGTTTTCTTGATTTGTGAAATAAGAAATTTAATTTCTGCGGCAGGGTGCAAATTGTAAGTGTCGCTTTTTTGTTTGAAAATCCGCCTTTTTGTACCCATCCAGCCAGGGGCGCATTAACACTTTTTCTTATTACGCAGGCAATAGAGGTATTGGTTATATATTTACAGACGTTGGCGTCCTTAAGGTGCACACCAACGAACGGACCTCACGGGAGTAGGGTTACCATCCGTCTTGTCTTGTGTCCAGACTTTGTCCGGACTTTTTTAATTGAATAGAATATGAGTAAAACTACTCAACAACTGACCATATTTATTAAGTTCTCATTAATTTAAAACAAAATGTAAATTATCTTTAAAAATCAACAACGAGATCCCCTTCGCGATGCGAGCGTCTGCTACCACGCGTATAATATCACTGTAACTAAGTGGGTAATGTTTGCATTTTGTGACTAAAATGTCCGGACTTTTAACGAAATATCCGGCTTTTTGTCAGGACTTTTCAAATTTTTAAATAGCAACCCTACACGGGAGCCGTTAAGCAGTCCGCGCGGCTAACGAGCGCTTATGGCTATACTATCCGCTAAAAAACCTTGCGAATACCTTCTACGCTGTTTAGTGCAAAACCGCGAGATCCCCGTTGAGGGACTTCACCGCGTCTAGGGGCGTATTAACCCTAGGGCCAAGAGGGCAATGACCCGGGGTGGCAGGCTAGGAGGGTGCACCTATATTTTGATTTGATTTACTAAGGACACAGATTACTTAATAGTTACTAAGGGGTACAAATCGTAAGTGGCCCGGAGCGCTAGATTTCAAAATACGCCCCAGTAACCCTTACCGCGTTTTTTATTTCCTCATATGGTGACACTGGAGAGTCAACAGAAGACCACTGTAAAGTAACATTATGTTTTGCCGACCGGCAATAAATGGACTGATGATGATGATGATTTAGTTAATAGAATTTTTAAATAACTCTTGACGTTATTAAATGTGATTTCCAGGCACCGTGTTTTCGGGTGCTCTGCCATTAAACGTGTACATCGAAGGCTGCGAGACGCCGCCATGCCGGCTGCCACAGCTGCAGGATGCGGTGATCAACATCGTCTTCAGAGCACGTAAGTTGACACATGGTATTTCCTGAGGGGGAGGCAGCTCGGGCCGTTGACGGCTAAGCTTATTCATGAGCACGGTTTTTTTACGTTTATACCGAGCCTAAACCTTCGCCTGCGTCCGTGTCGTATTTTTTTTTGACATGGCTTGAAATTGTGCCTAGACCCGGTTAGAAATCGTCTCTTAACAAGCGCCGTGAGACAACTACATCCACTGATCACAGAAAGAGGTTTCTGTGTCGTTTGGATGCGCCTGTTTGAAAACCCTGCACGGTCACATTGACATCCTTTTCTCGAATCTATTTTGTAGACTGAATACCGACAGCAACACGCTTAGGCCCGTATTACAGAATGACAACTAAGTGTTGATCTTTACTTGAGTACAGTTAGAAAGGGACGTCGCTATGTGCTACATATAGCGACATCCCTTTCTAACTATGCTCAAGACTAGATCAATCACTGAGAATCTTTCTTAAAACGGGCCTTAGTGTCACTGCTGCCTTTTTGGTTGACGACCTTCTTCTACGGGTTATAAGGAAACTTTAAAAAAGATAATTGAAACTGGAAAAGTCGTTCTCAAGTCATGGCGAGATCAAAGCAAAAAACGATTCTGTTTTGTACGTACATAGATACATTTTAAGGAAGTGACTGTAAGTTTTCACTATAGTGCAAAATAATTCTTATCAGCCCAACCTAAGTCGAATGCAAATAAATAAATAAATGCAATTTACATTTTTTTTTATAGCGAGGAGCAAATGACTCTACCCCACCTGCTGTTAAGTGATGATAAGTCCAAACGCGGAGATAGCTGATACAGCGGTTATAAACTGCTATACAAACCATCCTCACCTTGCCGGCCTGCAGAAATGCTTCTTCACGTCTCTCTTAAAGGACCCCAGATTATAGGAAGGAGGGAACACGTGCGCGGGTAAAGAATTCCACTTACGAATAGTACGACAAAGAAATGAGTCACCAAATTTCTTTGTTCGTGTAGGAATAGTGGCCACAGTAAGTCGGTGGGAACGTAGGCCAGCGCGCGTGGTCCTCTGAAGAAAAGGTGATGGAGGGATAATCGAGAATAGCTCCTCAGAACACTCACATATCTCAGCAGTGATGTGCATCAGAGTGCCGATACACATAGAAACAACTTGCAACTTTATTTATTATTATTATAATATCCATCTTCTTTTTCCAGCTAGACCGATGCAAAGCATGACCACACTGGCGACAGCGTTCCTCGGTATTCTGCCGGTCCCGTACCCGCTGGGAGACAACGCGGTGACCTGCAACTTTATACAGAGCTCCTGTCCCGTGCGTGAAGGCGAGATCCTCACCTATCAGCTGAAAATGTTCATCGAATCGTTCATGCCAGTCGTAAGTAACTCTTTTTGTCTTAATATTTTTTTACTAGAAAAGAATCTAGGAAGCAGACGTGACTCGAACCCGCGCACTCAGCTATCCAAGCGGATGCACTGACCGATTATGTTTAAGCGACCTTGAGCAAGCGGCCGTGTCGAATTTCTTCTGGTATTTCTTTGGCTGCAAGGCAGCGCCATCTGTTCGCATTGTAGGTAACCCACAATGCCAAACGAATACCTACCTTACAAGTACCTATTAAACAATTGAAAGAAGAAATATCAATTGTAGTTGATTATAAAATAGTCACAAAAATTAAGGGATATAAAAAAAAACATTTTTTTGTCATAATGTATAATGTACTACGTACATTATAACTACATGGATCCGTCCAGTGGTTTGGGCTGTGCGTTGATAGATCACTATGTCAGTCAGTCACCTTTGAGTTTTATATATAAAGATGTGAGGAAACTATGATGTTTTAAAGTTAAAGATCATGCACGCTTCTAATTTGGCAATACGAACGTCAGGTAATTGCCCGACTTACATTCAGTCGGGCACGCCTTCTTCGCTATAAAGTGTAAATATTCTATGTTTTTCCAGATAAAAAGCCCTATGTGTGTTTTTAGATAGTACACAAAATACATGGGAACTATTAGAGACTAGAAAATCGTGTCATTTCATTCGTAAGTAGTTTTAAAGAAATTAATGTAAAAATATTTAGTAATTACTTATTTTGACAGTTGCTGACACTGTTGACACGCGGAGGCTATAGAGCGAGATGTAATTGCTTTATGAATGAGAGTGAAAGAGACTACTTTAGTGCACTCTATTGGCGGCGGGGACTACTTGGGGCCTTTTTTAAATGCAATAATGTTGGTGTATGACCTGTCTATGTAATATACGTCATTGTGTCATACCCAGACCCACCCCCCTATCCGTAGAGCTCATCATCAGCCTATTAATGTCCCCACTGCTGGGGCACAGGCCTTCCCTAGGGATGGAATAGGGAGATTGGGCCATGACCCACCACGCGGGCCCAGTGCGGATTGGCGGGTGCTAACGACTGCAGATGCAGCCGGGACCAACGGCTTAACGTGCCTTCCGAAGCACGGAACTCGAGATAGTAATTTTTTGGTCACCCATCCAATGACCGACCACGGCGAAAGTTGCTTAACTTCAACGATCACAGCCGAACGCGCTAACCACTTGCGCCATCGAGCCCCTCATCCGTAGAGCTACCACAGCGATTCTATAAAACCAAAATTGTAATGTTATTTTATTGTGGTAGGGTGTTCTGTAAGAAAAGCTTCTTGTTCCTTTCCCAAACGTGCGCTCCAGTTCGAGCGGGAAATCCGATATGCTTTACCTTCTCCCCTTTATAATATTAGTGTAATATGCTATTTATTTCTGTGGATAGCCCACAGTTCCTAATATCCTAAATAATATTAAATGAGGAAGTGAGTTTGTCTGTTACTCAACCACGAAAATACGATTTGGATAAAACTTAGTATGCTTATAGTTTGCAACCTGGCTTGAGACCCAAGTTGGGTTCCTGTGGGATTCTCAAAAAACTAAAGTTAACGCGGACGAAGTCACGGGCGGCTGCTAGTTTTAAATTAATTTCGCCCGTGCAAATCCTATTATCCATAGCTACCTAGTTTTTAAGGTATCGTAAAGTATACCTTTTTATTCTGTCTAGGGTACCAGCGCCAGTGTGGAGTTCAGGATTGTGGATCAGAATAACTCAGCAGTGATGTGCATCAGAGTGCCGATACAGGTCGTTGCGCCTGTGAACTCCAGGAGCAACTCTACTGCAACGCTGCAAGGGAAAATATAGAAGAGTTACAACCATAATTCTGTACTAGGACATACTTCACACAAGTATTGTTGACTAGTGCAAACTTCATACAATTAATATGTTTACTACTGAAAAAATGTCTATAACTGTAAAGTTTTCCTGATTATTAACTGTTTTCTGTTTATTATACGTATACAATACGAGCATATAATATTGTTTATTTATTATTGTTACTTACGCTTACAACTACTTAATGTCTAAAACTTGAAATCAGAATTATCTAAAAAATTACCTACTTAAATAAATGCAACTTATTTATAATACGTAACAAAATAATTGGTGTGGCTTTATGAAACCACGATGCAAGTGAAACTTAGAAATTATAAAAAAATGGGTGCGTGTACTTATGTAGGCGCGTGAGAAGTTATCCTTCTTTGGCATCGTTTAAAATTAGTTTTTAATTGCATGCAAATAATTAATTACAATAAATTAATAAAAAGTCTGGAAAAGGACACAGTCAATAAAGTTCAGTTTTAATTTGAAAAAATAAATAAATAATCAAAATATTCAATTAAAATCGCTACTGAATATAATTTATTAGAACATATGTGATTTGCACTTGTATGAAACTCAAACACGTATTCCGAATATACAAACTAGAAACATGTGGATAAATATTATAAATATGAATACCTATAACTGTTACTTTATTACAAAAAATAAAGATGTGGTTTTTGGTTCTACTACACCAATGGTCAAGAGATGGCGCTGTAGTCTCCTGAATCGCGCTTTGGTTCCGTTGTTCCAGATTAATAAATACTTTTTGTTACTTTATTACAAAAAATAAAGATGTGGTTTTTGGTTCTACTACACCAATGGTCAAGAGATGGCGCTGTAGTCTCCTGAATCGCGCTTTGATTCCGTTGTTCCAGATTAATAAATACTTTTGATAGGCCTTCACAATGCAGTCGTTAGCACCCACAAAATAGAGATTCTATTTCTATTTTGTTGGTAGATTTTCTTAATGTGCGGTAAACACAAAAGTAACAGCATGAAGTTGGTCGCTTTAGCCAACCAACCAACTTCATGCTGTTAATTTTTTGTGTTACAGTGATGCGCGCGCATCTTAAAATTTCACTCTCATCATTTTTTCATAACGCGTCTAAAGAAGTATAACTTCAAAAAAGTCCTACGTCCAATGGAAATCGAACCCAGGCCGCACAGCAGACGTGCTTTTTACTACTGAATCAACGAAGCTTATTAAAAGAATGTGAGCCGCCACGAGACGCCTGGCAGATGTGAACGATAAATACACTCGGATTGCTCGGGATGCGTGCGGTAAAAAAAGACCTAGGTCCTTCCACGAAGGGCGCTGGAGCCGTACTGATCGCTGTGTTACCAACCCTTACCAAAATTTTCCCCTAAGTATTTTTTAAAATCCCCTAAATATAGGATTTTATATGTACCTACTTATTATCTAAATTCTTTCATTGCTCAAAAATTGAAACGTTACATGATTAGTTACAGTACATTATTTTATTGAATGAATGACAAAAATTAATAGTGAGACGTGAGTATGACGTGAACGAATGAAAGACCGAAATGTTGTTGATTTATTATTTTATCCATTGGTGATAGGCAAAGAACTTTAGTCTATACAGTCTTAGGAAATAACCCGCCTCACAGTCAATTCATATCGTTGCGTTCTACGCACAAAACTTAAGAAAAGACTCTGTTTTTCGATTTAATTGCAAGTTTGTTAAAAGCCCCTAAAAGAATCCCCAAAAAATTCCAGGCCCTAAAAAAGTCCATTTTAACACTTCTAGCCCGTGACTGATCGGCGACTAGTTAAGCACTGGTATACATCATCATCATCATCATCAGCCTATTAATGTCCCCACTAGTGAATAGGGAGATTGGGCCATGAACCACTACGCAGGCCCAGTGCGGATTTGTGGGTGCTAACGACTACAGATGCAGCCGGGACCAACGGCTTAGCGTGCTTTCCGAAGCACGGAGGAGCTCGAGATAGTAAGTTTTGGTCACCCATCCAATGACCGATCACTGCGAAAGTTGCTTAATTTCAACGACCGCAGCCGAATGCGCTAACCACTTGCGCCATCGAGCTCCTCCTTAAGCGGATATTATGCCGTAAAGCGCCCGTGAGAGTTACAGGGTCCTCAGTGGGGGCTTGCAAGGCTGGAACCAGGTGTGAGGTCCGTTTGGCGGTGTACCTCTTAAAGGAGCTGTCGTCTGTAAATAGAAGTTTTGCCTGCGTTACAAAAAAAGGAGGGGTAGAGTATAGTAAAAAAAGAGGGGTACAGTCATATAAAAATAATCAATTCTAATTATCCTTAGGTAAGTATGTGTTTATAAATAAAAGACTAGAAGAGGTGCTTAGTTAACAAATGTCTGTTGTACCTTTGTCTATGTATCTACAACTTCAGAGGCTTCTATAAACCTTGGCGATCTTGGTTCATGCGTCATGCTCGTGAACGGGTGCTACCAGCGGGGAAGAGTCTACTCTATTCTGCGTTACTATTGAGATTGTTATCTATTATACCAAATATTGAATGATTAATATAGAATGTAATAATTGAATACTGTTGGTATACTGTATGTCACAGCGATTGGAAGCGAGATTATTTTTTTGTAAATGTTGCTACTTCAGTTAAATGCTGTTGAGTTTCTTGGGCCCATTCTACTCATCAGCTCTAGGATATTCTGAATGTGTGCTAGAAAACAATATTGGATGATTCTAAAGAGCTTTTAATAAGTCAATTCGAATAAAGTATAATTGTTAGAAAGAAAGAAAGAAATAATTTTATTAGCCTTCAGTAATAGGATTACACAAAACGAAAGCAATAACAGAAAAAAAGACGGCCAACAAGGTCCCTGCCTCAGCATAATGCCACAGCGACGCCAGAGCCGCTGCAGCGCTGATATTCTGGCAGGGCCTAAGGTTAGTTAGTTGTAAAATGTAATGTTGACGAGTGACGCTTGACTCACCGCTCCCCCCACGACAACGGCTAACTAGAGCCGAGGTTCGAATCTCAGAGACGCCCTCTTAGTGAGCCGACCCCCTCAGGTTCGAGTGGTCTAGAGGCTCCAGACGGAGAGGAGACTTCCCCCGTGAGGAGATGCCATCCGCCTGGAATACCTCTAGAGCAGCTATACTCTAAGTGTGTTCCGCGGAACCCTAGGGTTCCGTGATACCTCTGTCGGGGTTCCGCAAGAATTTAGAAATAAAAAAATCAAAACACCTCTCTCTGGTCGCTCCGCGGCTGTGCGGACTCCGCGGCCGCGCGGAGACAAAACGCTATGAATGTTATTTATTTATTTATTTGTATTTGTATAAGCTTGTGTTACATTAGCTGGTACAATATCTCATAAGTTTGGTCTCAACAATTTTATACTTGTACAACGCGTTCGCTCTAAGTTTGCCGGTCTGTGGAATGCGCGTACCCTCCCCCACGTGACAACAAAACTTATAATGTGTCATAGTTTTACCCAAATATCTAACGTACACAATTTTTATTGTTACAATTAAATAAAAAATTTCGAACGTCATACACTCATACCTATCGCCAGCGGCAAACTTAAAACGAGCGGGTAGTATACTTGTAAGCGCTCAGTCTCTTTGATAAAAGCCGCCTCTGAATTAGACGCTATAGTTGTCAACTAGCGACTTTCGTCTCTAACTTCAAAGGATAAAGTCGATATTGTTTACAACGCTATTTTTAAATTTCTGTTTTTATTTTTGCTTTTTGTTTATCAAAGGTGCCGACTCGAGTATTTTCGAGAATATTTGAGATCGAGTCTAGGACTAAGTATAAAAGCGGCGATCGCGCGTTGGCGTCGTCAGTTGATGATTAGCGTTCGGAGCGATAAGTTACTACCTACTTACAAGCTCGCTAGCGAGAAACTGGTGTTCATTGTTTTACTGCCTGCTGTATTCTGTTGTCTCAGTTTTATACATTTCTTCCCTGTAGGTTCTAAATTTAGTCTCTTATACGCAGTAACGATTGTGCATTATTTAAACCCCACTATCCTGACTTGTAACATTATAAATAAAGAAGAATGGAACGTTGGCTTAAAGGTGTTAAACGTGTTCCAACAACATCTTCTAATGACGCTGAATGTTCAAAAGCAATGCGCGCGGAGAATTTAGCAATCACCGATCCAGAAGATGATGCCACGAGTGCCACGACGTCAAGCTCGACGGTTTCAAAGACGAAAAAAAGGAAGTATGATGAATCTTATATCAGTTTCGGATTTGTTGATTCCAACGGCTCACCTCTCTGCATGCTCTGTAGTAAACTGCTTCCTAATAGTTCCATGGCACCTGCCAAATTGCGTCGACATTTAGAAACCGTACACCCCGAGACTAAAGACAAGAATAAAGAATTTTTTGTTCGCAAAAAAGATCAGTTATTAGAAAGTCAAAAAAATATGATGCATGTAACACAAACTACCAACGAAAAGGCCACGGAGGCATCATACTTAGTTAGCTATCGCATTGCACAAGCAGGTGAAGCGCACACTATCGCTGAGAAATTAATAAAACCATGTGTATTAGACATAACAAAATGTATGCTTGATGAAAAATCTGCAAAGCATCTTTCTACTGTTCCGCTATCAAACGATACTGTTTCACGACGAATCCATGATCTGGCAAGCTACGTCAAACAAGAACTAGTTACACGTCTACAAAATACACGATTCGCTTTGCAAATGGACGAGTCGACTGATGTCGCTGGTTTGGCTATCCTGCTGGTTATTGTGAGATATCCATATAAAAGTTCTTTTGAAGAAGACATGCTTATGTGTTCATCGCTGCTTACAAACACTACCGGGGAAGAAATTTTTAATAAAATAAATATATTTTTTGAAGAACATAATCTCAGTTGGAACAATTGCATTGACATTTGTACAGATGGGGCCAAGGCGATGACAGGTAAAACAGCAGGAGCAGTGTCACGAATGAAAAATAAAGCGCCTAATTGTAGTTCCAGTCATTGTATTCTGCATAGACAAGCACTTGCGATGAAGCAAATGCCGTCTAATCTAAAATTAGTTATGGATGAAGCGGTAAAAATAATTAATTTTATCAAATCACGACCACTACAATCCCGATTGTTCTCATTATTGTGTGAAGATTATGGCAGCAAACATAAAACACTGCTGCTCCATACAGAAGTGCGATGG